GTTTGTGTCAGTGGTATCATTGTTATTAGTAGTGTCATTTGTGTCGTTAGTATCAGTGGTATCGTTTGTGTCAGTGGCATCATTGTTATTAGTAGTGTCATTTGTGTCGTTGGTATCAGTGGTATCGTTTGTGTCAGTGGTATCATTGTTATTAGTAGTGTCATTTGTGTCGTTAGTATCAGTGGTATCGTTTGTGTCAGTGGTAGCGGCAGCACAACATGTACTAGTTGGGGAAAGTTACTGAACATGCAAGTGAATACATGTGTAGAATATGTACCATTCTGTTAGGTTTACTATAAGGATAAATGCCCATGTGGCTAAAGTCTTAGGGTTCTTACACGGCATTGTTAATCTCATTAAAAGTATTAGGGTAAAGCATGTTACAGAAATGGAGCTAGAAGATTTAAATAGGTATCCCCCATAGTTAGGTGCAGGTACGGCAGCTAGTGTGGAATCTAGGGCAGACTACTTAAATAGATAACCAAAAGTTGCATGTATAGCTAGTCATACTCTTGTTAGTTAAATAATCAGAGAGCTTAAATAAGATAATCTCCTAGTTAGATTGCAGGTATGGTGGCTAGTGTAGAACCTAGGCGGACTACTTAAATTAGGTACCAAAAGTATATGTGTGGCTAGTTGTATCCTCGTGAAATTGATATAATATCATAATTATCTGAATAAAGCTATGTATTAGAGATCTAAGTGGTCACCTTAATATTTAAAAAAAAAAAAAAAAAAAAAAATAGCAATTTCATACTTTAGAAAATAGCTAGATTTTGAAAATTAAAAATAAATAAAAATATATATCTTTAGTCCCTGTAAATACCTAGATATATCTATCAGCACTTAATAGCAATATTTCTACTAATATCTGAATATATTTACATTTGGCCAACAATGAAATTTAGATTTCTTGCTATTAGTTAACTATTGTGTATCACTAATACCTAACTCAAACCCAAGTTTTAAAAAAAAAAATATAAATTAGTAAAAGTGCTTAAGAAACAAAACAAAATATTTCTATAATATCCAAGCTTCTCTTGTCTAGCAACAGACACATTTAAAAACTAGATCTTTTGTAATTGGCCAACTTATGCGTATCTAAATACTAACTCAGACTCAAATTCTAGAATAAAAGGTGTTATAGGTTTACAGTATAGGTAACTCTTTTAATAAAATATATTATTAATAAAGCAGTGTATCTATAATGTAAGAGATTCAAAATTTTTTAAACTTATTAAAAAGTAAAATTGATACTAAGCTAACTCTTTTTGAAGTAGTTAAAGTTTGTATTACAATATACAATCGATTAAAAATATACTATATGCTTATTTTAGAACTGGTTCCAAACTAGAACCAGATCAGAACTAGTGCTCGGCACAATCAAACAAAAATTTAACAGTCAAATACTTGTTAATACTTATGTTTAAATCAGATGTCAAATGATTGCAAATTAACCAAAGCTAAATATATACTATTGGTTAATCTGCAATCATTTGATATTCGACTTAATCACAAGTATTAACAAGTATTTGACTATCAAATTTTTGTTTGATTGTGCCGAGCACTAATCAGAACTGATAGAACCATATAATTTATATAAAGACCGTCTTAGGACCAGTCTTTTGCAAGACCGGTACATCCCTAGTTTTAGCACTTTGTGAAAACTTAAATGATTTTTAAATTTGCAAGAGAAATAAAAATTTGAGGCTTTATTTATTTATTTTTTATTTATTTTTTTTTATTTATTTTTTTAATTTTTATTTTATTTTATTTATTATAGCACTTTGTAAAAACTTTTGCCAATTTCTGAATTGCAAGAATGCAAACTTACTTTAAAGAAAAAAGATTTAGACTTTATTATTATTATTTTTTTTGTTTATTAGTTTTATTTATTTTTTTGTTTGTTTGTTTTTTTTTATTCTAATATTTTGTAAAATCATTTAATTATTTTTGAATTTGCAAAAATATAAATTCTTACTTCTAGAAAATAAAAATTTGGTGTAGCATTCATTTTTAATTAGTTTGCTTTATTTTTTCTTCTAATAAATAGTATTGTAGTAATAAAAATAGTATTGTAAAAAAATATATATAATATATAAATATATAATATATAATAATAAATAAAATAAAATTTTAAAATTATAAAATTGTTCAAAATTATTCGAAAAATTGTAAAATATTCAAAAAATATAATTGTGTATTGTTTATTAAAAATGTTTAATTTTGCAAAAAAATTGCAAAATATTGCAAAAAATTGTAAAATATTGCGAAATATTGTGAAATTTTGTGAAATATTGTGAAATTTTGTGAAATATTGCAAAATATTATCCCTTAAACTATATTCCAGGCAAATTTGCCTGGAATTTTAAAAAGTATTTATAATTTTTTAAATAAAATTAAAAATTA